TAACTATACAGGGCGTCCCTCGGCTACCTCACACGGAGGGAAAGTATATTAAATATTGAAGATAGGATATTTTACCGAAAGAAGACATCATTTTATTTTAAATAATAACTAAAACTGCATTCACAGATTTTTTAAAAAGCGCCTGCTACAACTGGGAATCAAACTCGTCAAATTTCGAAAAAAAATAACACGGCATATTTTATGATAACAATCGAAAGAATTAATCATAATTATTATTTTTTGCTAAATAACATAGCATTTTAAATGAAAGGAATGTGAATTAGGTGATAAAAATAATAAAGTGATATACAAACTGTAATACGCATGCATTTCTTATTGAATTCAAAGTTACAATGCGACTGGCAGAAATTTGTAAAAATAATAATTCGAAAATGGAAGACATAAAGGACATTGCTCGTTCCCCATACATTGAATGCCCTAGAACGCCCAACAATGAGAAAATGGTAGTTGTGTTCGGAATCATTCATAAACTCTAATTAGGCATTTGTTGAGATACGGATAACTTGAGGAACCGTGGCCTACTACAGAATGTATTTGATTTTGAGGTTATAATTATTATACTAATTAATCGTAAAAGATGTACACTTTATATATTCTGAATAGATTTAGTGTTTACCTCTATGTAAGCACTTAAATAATATGCATTAAATGAACATAAAATGCAATTAATAATAAAAATAGTAAATGCTTATATTCATATTGATTAATGAGTGTTGTCAGTTGGCACCTACGATACCTATACCTTACCTGTAGTAATAATAGATTTCTTTTCAAATGAAATGTTCAGTCTTTCCATTTACCTGTTTCTATATTTTACTATCGGTAATTAGGTATGTACCTGGTTATCATTATGATTTTCATAAAAATAAACAGATATTACATGGGATGGGAGTATAATTATTAACTAAGGTATCTCTATTTTTCTATTGATAAATACCTATGGTCGCCTCTAATGCATTTATTAAGGTAAACAATCTTGGCACAACGTTTTAACAGAATCAACCATTTAATAATAAAATATTAACGAAGCCAATAAACTATTAAAATAAATCGTTATTATAGACTGAAACCTTTGGAATCCAGTTATCAGTTGATTTTTAATGCTGTTTTTTCAATAAAAAGGAGTGCCAAGTTGGATGAATAGACTGTAGTATCTAGTAACAGAACTTTATTTTTTTATTTTTTTAAACAGATTGTCCGTTTACTATGATTAATTGCTAATATGTTAAAAAAATAATAGAAAGATAATAGTGTAGGACATTCTTTTGGGCATGCTAGGGCCGATTTCGTCGATGTCCTTTTCAAGTGTCTGTTCTTTTGTTTTTTGTGTTTCATTTTCATTTATTTGCATTTTTTGTTAATTTACTTACCATGGCTTATTAAAAATCTTTCTCTATCTCTATCTTTCTTTCAATATTTAAACACATATCGAGAAGGTTTGTCTCCATCAGGATATCTTTTGTGGTACCACCGTTAAGCTAATGATATGTCTTTGTTGTTCATAAAATAAGCTTACATTAAATCTATTTTATTTTGATGCGCCATGGTAAGTAAATTAACAAAAAATTGCAAATAAACGAAAATGAAACTCACGAAAAACAAAAAAACACAAGCTTGAAAATTTATGTGTTACATTTTCGAATTATTATGACAAATTGCAGCCAATCGCATTGTAACTGAGTTCAAATTCCCAGTTGTAACAGGCGATTTTAAAAAAAATCTGTGAAGGCAGTTCTAGTTATTATTAAAAATAAAATGATGTATTCTTTCAGTAAAATATTGTATCTTCAATATTTAATATACTTTCCCTCCGTGTGAGGTAGCCGTGGGACGCCCTGTATAGTTTGTGGTATTGCATTTCTGTAAAAACTTTGAAGGGTGCTAAGAATTAGTCAGTCTATCCATTTCCATTCTTATTTTTAATAAAATAGTTTTACATTTATTTAGGTGCTAATCGTTGCTGTTTGGTAGAATTGCTAGGGAAAACCGTGTATTGATCTAAGGTATTGATTGGACTTCTATGTCCAATCAATACACGGTTCGATGAAACAACGCGACCGTTGTTTCATTGATAGTTAAATTAGTCAGATAGGTCCTGCTAAGGGGGGGAAGAAAACTACATAGCTATTTTACCTACTTGCATGGAAGGTTTTAAGGAAATAAAAGCAGCCCTTTATTCATTTCATTTCATTTTAATGTAACATCCATATTTACAATTTTAAATACTGGCATTGATCTTATAATTTTTGTTTATATCATGATAGGATAATAGAAATATTTGATTTCCCATAAAATAGATAATTAATTATTTATCGTAAATTCTTAAATATTTGTACAAAGTTGTCTTGATAATCGTAATTATAATCAACAGTAGCAGTTAATTTTAGATCATACAATATATGTTTCATATTATAAGTAAAATAATATTATTATCTATACGTACTTAGTGCGAAGTCGGCTTCAACGCGTTGCAGTTTAAGAACAAGCTGGCCGTTTTCGTACTTTCAATCTAAGCTTTCAATAATGAAAAAGACTACCAATGCTACATTTATTATGTCTTCAGTAGTAATTCTTTAGTAATAGTCTAAATATTATTTATGCACTGGTTTGATAAAGATTTTCTTGTGATTTGTAGTTTTTCACCAATCCTTATATTATATAAAAATATAGTTAAGTATTATTATTACTAAAATATTGACGAAATTTTTTATGACATTGTAATTATTTCGATGCATCTACGTTCCTTTTTTACTATGGTGATAAAAGTTAACAAATAATTTATAATTTCATTGTGGCAAATTACTCAATATTCCATAATATATAAGATTACAAAAATACAATCATTTACATATTCTAGTTTTCCAAAATTAATGTTATTAGATGATGTTAAAAAACTAAAACTTAATAATAAACTTTGGTGGGATCGTTATTGTGTATAGTTCGGTTATAAGTAATTAACTAGATAGATGAGACGGTGATGAAAATAATTGTGATACCTACCAGATATTGACAATATAATTGATATGTAAAATTACCCTTGAAATACCCCTGAACTATTGACGCAATATAATTTCCTCTAACATGATGTAAGTTACAGAAAGACATCGGTTGAAAAGCAAAATCCTATATTTAATAATGCATTTGAGGCAAGTATAAATCGGCATTCACTATCGTTCAAGTCAGATCGGGTAAACGGGCACATTCCTTAATGTGGTATAATATTTTTTAGTATAAATAATACTATTATTGGTTAACATTTTATCAATGAATAAGGCAAATAATTTATAAGTGCTTGCCCTTATTTATTTTATTGAAATAGAAGTTTCCAATTATCAAAAAATATAATTGCATTTTGCAGATAAACGTAATAATAATTGTAAGAAAAATTTGCAAGTCTTACTAGCCCTAATATCTTAGTAGTAATTGTATTCATTATTTAGTTTAGTACATTTGCATATTCGCCAAGGGAAATAAATGGGGAAGAAAACTGACAACTCTCACAGCCAGAGGCGCTAGTGTCGTAAGGCCCACGACATCTGTCAAAATAGATACGCAAAGTTTGTGGTTTGTTTTTTTTCGAAAAATGCTACAATGTGTGTTAATTTGGTAAAATAAAAATTAGCGACTGAAAAAGATATAAGGATAGACTATAAGTTTTGAAATAACAATTTTCAATTTGGTGTTACTGTTGATGTAATTACAATCTTGGACACGGTAACCCTCCAATGGTGATAAATCAATTTAAAAGTCGTCAATTTTATGCTCCTGATGAATCCGAATTCGAGAAGTTAAACTTGTACTCTATTCACTTCAGTTGTAAAACAGATTTTTTTAAAGTTCGATAGTGTTATTGTTTTTTTATAAAATTACTTTTTATGATTACCCATTGACTATGTTCACTATATGATCCTTTGGTTGGCGTCCTCCTCGGGTATTATATTTTAACTTATATTTTAAGTATTTCACAAACCAATTGCTAAATAATACTTTTATCATTAGTGAAAAGACAAATTTCGCAAGAAAAATCGAACCAAAGTGATAGATCGATTGTTAAGGGCCATATGGCTAAAGCGCCTTCTGTAATGAGCTTTGCGTTTTTTTCGCCATTGATAGCGACTGCGGTGGACTGACAGTCACACAAATAACATCTACTTGTACAAGGCTATAATAATAAGTACAATGAGTTATTAAAGTAACATTAACATAGATCTAAAACATGTAACGTTTCCATTCCATGATGAAGTTATTCATGAAAATTTTAAACGACATTAAATTTGCATTATTTAATACTGTTGCCAGCAAAGTATCTTTTTCATAATTTCTTCTTCGTTTTTATAAGTGTTGTTAGGGCGTGCGATTCTTCCAACGGCCCTAAATCTATTTTATTTAGGTGGGTTTCAATTGTCCGAAATTTGGTTAGTGTCAGAATTAATAATAACATTTAAAAAAAATAAAAAATATACATAACGAAACAAGCGACAGTAAAACATAGTCAAAATTCCTGACAAGCGTCGAACTTTCTTTTAGGCAAGCCCGTGCCAATCAAAAGAAATTAACAAAGAAATTTTAAGATATTTGAATAATCATACAATTTTTCTTTCAGACAATTACTACATTCTCAATGAACAGATTTTAAAAAATATTGCAAATAATAAAAAATAATTCGTTATGATATTAATACAACAATTTACATTTAACGCAATAATTAAAACAATTATAATAATACTATTATGAACAGTATCCAGTAGCAAATTAATTAAAACACTTAAATAAAAAGATAATATTTACAAGAATATAAAACAGCTAACAAGGTACCTACTAAACTATGACTGTAATATTTGGCTTTGAAATAAATAATAATATAATGAAAGCTATGGACAAAATAATCTATAAAAACAATGTACATACCTAAAAGTTATTTTTATAAATACAATGCAATTAGTGAGTGATTCTGTTATACTTGAAAAACAAAAATTTAGATGCAGCCTTAAAATAGGTAATTTTAATAAAATAGACATACGTTTGCGTGGATGTATTTTTTCCGTTTTATTTATAGACAATAAAATCCATAGCTTCTATTATACGTCGTCGGGTAACATCGAATTGTCTTATTCAAAGAAAATAAATCTATCTTTTGGAAATGCCTTCACTACTGAACCAATGTCTTAAGCCAAGAAGACTGTATAAATTTTGGTTGGTGGTCTGAGACCGTGACGGTTTCGTGTGACGTTGAACTACTTTATGAGGATATTCCGGATATTGATCAGAATGACGTGGTTCTTGCGGACCTGGATATGGTTGTAGGTAATAGCCATGGGGTCTCAAATAATGCGGATACGAATGATGGTGTCGTCTCGGATTTCCATGAATGTTATATACACCACCGATGTGACTTTTGCCAGGCCAATAATCTTGTATGTGACGGAAAGGGTAATTTGGAGGTGGGGTTGGAAAATGTTGACTAGGCCACGGATATCTATAATATGGTTCGTTGTTAGGTAAAAAACTTTGAGAATGTAATTGGTCGGTAAAAGAGTCTTTTATTTTTCCCGCCGGCTTGGGCTTATTTCGTCGGTATTGTAATTTAGTTCGCGTGCCAAGTATACTATCCTCTTTGTTCTCAGGTTTCATTTGATCACTTTTAAAATTATCGTCAGTAGATACTTCGGCATACCGACTTATTAGTTTAATAGCTTCACCTATGTCAGAATACTCGTTTTCGGGGTTCAGCTTACTTTGGTCATTATTTTTATTCAGTTCAGCATGATTGGTGGAATTTACGGCTATAACATTCTTTACCTCACCGAGGTTTGTAGTATTTATCTTTTTATTGTTTACATTAGATATTGTATTGTTACTTTGTATATTAGTTGCTGTTGCCTTATCGGTATTTTCGCTTGAGATTTGCTGGTTTATATGCTGCATATTAAAAAGTACTGGGTCAACATTAACATGACCGTAAACTAATTCTTTTTGTCCCGTTTCAGAGTCGTCGGGAGGATTTATTGCCGTTAAATTGTCGGTTGGACTGTCACGTTTAGGTTTATCAGCATTATGTATATTCATTACGTTGTGATTCAATACTCCTGATATATCGGTGTAGTTGTTGTTTGAGTGCTGTAGTGTTAAAAGTTCGAGTTCAGCTTCAACTCCTGCATCATTATTTTCACCTTTCTTAACGAAATTGGGCATCAGTTCTTGAGCCTGAAAATAAAAAAAAACCCTCTCAATTCACACGTAATTAGTGATAAATGCTTTTATAGACAAATATATAGTAAAACATTATTTTTAGGCAATCTCAACCTATCTACCAATAATCATCAACATATTTCTGACCTGCGGAGACAGCTCTTGGGTTTGTAGAGGAGCAGCTTGTGGGTCTAAGCCGATTGGTATGGACAACTGCAAGGGACCGGGCTCATCGTCACCGTAGTCGATATATACGTCGTCAGTTGGTGGCGAAGGGAATTGCGCTTGCAGTTGTTCCAGCAGTATACGCTCGTGTTCGTCTTTATTCACAGTTACCACCTTTAATAAAATTATATATGTTTAGCATTCCACGTTCTGGATGGGAGTTTGTATATTAGTATCGCAATAACAAGAGTATCTTAAGTTTACTATTTAGTAAAAGATTTACAACAGTTCAGTTAAAAGACCCTTTTATAGTACATTGATAAAGTAAAGTTTGTAATAAGGTTTTAATTTGAACAAATTATTCGGAGAAGAATTCAAGTTATTCGGAGAAATGTGAAAAAATTGCTAGCAGCAATAATGAATGCCTACTCCAAGGTCATCTACAACCACAACTACGGCAAAAATAAATACTATCTACCTACTACCATTTAAATCAGTAACCCATAAAGTTGAACACAGTTCATTAAAGAAGAAGGAACTTATCAGTAAAGTCAATTTAATATACCTGAACGCATGCATTCTGGTCGAGCCTCTGGCCTTTAGGGCACACGAGAGGTGTGACAAATAAAGACTTCGTAGTAATTCGTCTCGGGGGCGCATTTTGGTTTCCGCTTTCGGCGCTTTGCAGCCATACCCGCCAAGCATGCTCAGCGGCTTGACGGTCCAGCGTGCGCAGCGGCGCGCGGGTAGTCGCTACAGCCAAGCGTGCTTCGGCTACCGTCGAGTCTTCAAGTTCAGGATTAGCTGTCTTCTCGTTGGCCCCTTTACTTGGCTGACCGGTAGATTCGAAAGTGGGAGCTTGGGTGGTCTCGGTCGCGGCTGCTACCGATGCTAGTGCACACGACACAAGCAGTAAACTGGCCCACGTGCACCACATTGCAAACACCTGGAACAGAAATGGAGACTGGTCTCAATATTATAATTAATTAGAATGTCGTAGTATACAAAAGAGTCACTGTGTTTGTGTTCATTGTAAAAAATAGTTAGGTACTGGAATCACCAACTTAGAATCTGTCTATTGAAATTGAATTTTAAAGTAGAACAGTTACTTTATTTCATATAATTAAACAGTTTTTTGTAGGTACGGACTCTAATTTGTATTAAAATTCCATTCATATTCCAGTGCAAAATTGTTTTTATTTTCGCATCCCAACAAAGAAATCTTGCTTGTAAACATACAACAAAGAAGCGCTCATACTCCAGTGCAGTGCGTAATTCAATGAACATTTTATACCTACATATAGGGGGAGGTATGGGTATAAGATTGTTTTGTGTCTGTCGCGTTTGTATGATGTCAACTGGATCAAGGATTCGCCGATTCTATTTGTTCAATGACTATGCGTCAACAACACTATACAAGCCAGTAAGTGCATCCCAAGTCAAGCTTTACTTTAATAAAGTTTAATTATAACCTTGTGTCCTATTCAATCCGTATTGATTAGACTTGCAACGAATATTCGGTTACTATTTGGTATTCGGCCTATTCGGCTGCTTTTATTATATTCGGCCGAATATCGAATATCTGCATATTATTCGGCCGAATACCGAATACTTAAATAATATATTTTGTCATAGAGAAATAATTGGTAAAATGAAAAATTAAAATCGATTGATTACTTATATATTCATATTTTCATTTCTGTTTTCACAGGTCATCTTCTGAATTGGAAAAATGGAGGATTCTATGTATTTGAATTATTGTGATGATCAAAATTTAGAAGGGTAAGGTTCTCATTTCTTTTATAATCATTTATTAAATAGTCATTGGTACATAAAACAGGTACATAATTTAATCATTTTCTGTATTAAGTAAATAAGTTAACAGTTTTTAATTCATTCAGTCATGTGATGAATGGTTACATAGTAGCAATAATTTAAAGTTTACGCGCCGTTTTTGGCCATATCTCAAAAGTTGGTTTTGTTATTTAGCCGCATTTTAGCTTGAGGACGGCAGATTAGAACAAAACAAAGGAGCGCGAAACAATCACGCCTGTACAAGTTTTTGGCGCTAAAATCCAGCCGAATACTTTTGCCAAATATTCGGCTATTCGGTCAGGGGCCTCGCCGAATATTCGGTATACTGCCGAATATACTATTCGTTGCAAGTCTATGTCACTTATGCAAAAAAATCATTTTTTCAGGAGAAGCGTTTAAAACTTTAACATCCCAAAACATACAATATTTAAAGTATTTTTTAATTGTGTTTAGATGAATAGCTAACCTGTATAAGCTTTTCATCACGTAAAAATCTTTCAGTATTGTATTTTTTGGGATGTTAAAGTTTTAACGCTCATCTTGAAAAACAATTTTTTTGCATAAGTGACAGTGTCGCACCGGATGTGCGTAGTATTGATTGAAGTTTATTATTCATGCAGTGATGTATTGAAAATTCTTGGTAAATGCTATTACAGGTGAATACTGTTATAAACTTTTGAAATGTATAAGAATTTTTAAGATTAAATTTGTGCAATTATCGGTAATTGTTATTGGTGCAAGAAGTATAATCGTATTTTATTTGTACTATTCAAGCTGGACATTGTGAAATGCTAATGCATCTATGTAATAAGACATGACTATGGATGTGTTAATTAATGTTGGCGATCCAAATCCCTGTTATCGACCTTGAAGCCCTTTATTATTCGTGAAAGTGAAAGCCAGTTAATCGCGGTCTGGCTAAAGCTTTGTGCCTTCACTTTTAAAGCGCATTAACTTGTACTTAAGTCATATTTCGACCGAATTATTGACTTGTCTTTCGTAATGGATCTCAAATCTACATTAACCACAGTTATTAAATGACAGGTATTTTAAGATGGAGTGGATAAATATGGTGACGATAAGGCTACTGTAAGAATAGACACGCTTGATAGATTTAGATAAATGCGGTGCACATTGCTTTAAAATTCCAATGCTTGCTCGGAATATATTCAATTAAAAGTCCCTCTGGATTTGAATGTGTTAGTATGTTCAAACTATAAACATTTATAGACCAAACATATTGATGACGTTTTTTTTTCTATTGTAGTACCTATACCACGGTAATATTATAATATGACCGTGCCTATACTTACCTACATTAATGTTTACAATGCGTTGATAAACATCAAGCTTATTAATGAACATTAACTATGATAACTTTGATATTTATTAATTGTCAATTAGTAGGAAAGGTTTTAATTTAGCTGAATATTTTTGGAATATTACGCAAAGTTGTTTTGGGATTTTACTAAGAACATATTTTTATAGATTATTAATAAAGAGATAGGTATCAATGGAGGAAGCCTTTGGTTTTTGTAGACGGTAAAAGGAATATACCGAATACCTAGATAATTATTTATTCAAGATGCGTTATTGTTATTCAAACTAAAATATTTACAATACAATAACGAAACAACATTAAAATGATGGACGATACAAAACGGGTTCAGCCTATGACTGGTGCTAAAAAGGTCGCTGTTTTGGTTGGTTAGAGGTAATATGTAGAGACATACTATTTGTACCCCAGTTTCGAAATCTTGCAAGTAGATTGTATAAGTATGGAACGAGAAATTTATTTTAAATTTATTTTATTCCAGAGCCAAAGTTAAATGCGTAATACTGAATGAATGACCATGAACCCATTACTTGACATGCCTAGCCTACCTGTATAATCTGCATTTGCACAATATTTTAGGACTAAATAATTCGTATGAAATGGTCCAAAACATACTTATTATGTATTACTTTATTAATTTCCAGAGATGATATTATCATTCTTCTAATAAAAAATCTCATGACTGGTGGTGATCAAACAATGCATCAGAAAACAGTAAGTAAAATATATAATCTAGTCGAAGAAATGGCATTATGATAGGTAATTAGGTATTCATTTAATTACAATCATTAAATAGATTTTATCACAATTATATAAAGAATAGATGACATTATATTTAATTAAATAATATCAAGAGACTACATTTATATTGTCAATCATTAAGTTTATTTCCCTAGTAATGTTTAATAATATTGGGTTAATTGTGGTGTTTAAAAGTTATACTTAACTACCTAAGTACGCAACTACCAATAGGAGAGAAGGCAAAGGTAAATGCACAGTACATAAGTATATTTTAATATTCATTATAGAATTACGCGTCTATACTACTGAGTGATATCACATCATCCATTAAACGTGTTACATCATAATGACACGCGTATGCAAAGATAATTGCATTTTAATAATATACAAAGAGTTGCCTGTGCAATGAAGTGAAGTTCAATTTAGTTAACCTTCGCTTTAAGCGTCGTGTTACCTTCGATTTTTCAGTAGCCGCGTGTACTCCGTAGTATACAATTTGGTGCGCAAAATAAGAGCAATGGCTGTTGACCCCGTGCCGGTCAGTTTGGTCAGCCGCAGAAGGCGCGGGCGCCGGGCGTCGCGATCTATCCGCGGCATCTGGCAATGATCTCGCCAGGCGCATACGCACGCGGAAGCGCCTCGCGTGAATTGACCGTGTTTCAATGGGTGCTTGATTAAAGCTCATTTCAGATAGGTACATACCTACCTACCTCGCCATGAAAAGGATTAGAAAGTGGGATTATGTCGGGTTCGATGGTGTAATTCTATCTGGAATTTTCACACTGAAGGTCCCTGTGTGTGAGTACTCTCGTGTGCTTATGTTAACGTTTTAATGCGTCCGCCCGAGACTGCATATGACCTATTGAGATTAGTCTTGTTTTCTTGAAGCGTATGCGATGAGAATTTCACTCAGATGTATTAATAATCGGTACGTATCGAATCTCCGAATGTTGAACTCTACCTTGACATGTATGCGCTGCCAGAGGCGATGCTGCAAGCAAGGTGTGGTGTGTGTGGGGGGCAGGGTAGCACGCAAATAAAGAACTCATTCGGAATTAAGTTTGAAGAGGTTTTGTGGATACATAAATTTGTACACAAAGCTTGAAGCATAGATTAGCATTGGTAAAGAAACGAACTAAGACAAAGTGTGAGGAGAGTCGCTTCCTTCCATCAAGTGCCTGACTGAATGTCACGATACAGTTGTTATCCTTGTTAAGCCGAACGTGTTTCCTTTAATTTACACGGTTCGAGTCAACATTATAAATTCAGGGGTTCCCTCACTTTCTATACTTGTAGCTGAGGCACACTCTTATTATTCATTCCCCTTTTTGAGGACTGCAGGTACCTAAATACACCTGCCGTTTAAATTTAGAAGTAGTTTTTAAGGGAATTTGTCAGGTGTGTTTACAAATAGATTTTGTTAAATTGATTTCTCAATTTATAATGGATTCCAAATTTTGTAGTTTTACCCATTTTTAACAGACTTTGGTTATAGTAATTAATTTGATTCAGTTTTAATTTAACAATACATATTTCAGATACTGCCCTTTTTCTTGAGTCTTTCTTGCAATAAAGACCGAACTAAGTATACGCTTCACCGGAGATTTTGGCATTCACGTAAACCTTATGTAAGGTCCTTTATATCGTCTCTACATAAATGTTTATTTATGAAGCTTTGTCTTTGTGCGTACCTAGAAAAACTGAGAGTCCGCCCACTGTCATCTCTACATACATAATTTTTTCCCACAGTCGGGATGTTTACATATCTTTTACGTAGTAAAAAAAATATAATTCAAGGAATTCTCTGCTTTGAATCTTTCAAATGTAGGTAATTAGGATTTCAAACATTATAATCGAAATATTATTTGTTAGTTCGTATTTTGTCTTTTCTTTTTTGCTTTGTTTGTGTAGCGTCTCTCAAGTTTGTAGATTTCCCTTCTACCATTTATCAATACATACAGAATATCGCTTAAAAGCATTGCCATTGCCAACATCATACGACCCTTAATAAAAATATTCGCAAATATTAACCAGTTCTTTCCAACACTCATTTC